AAATAAATCGTTGTAAAATAACACTAACGCAAAACTCTACGAACTTATGTTACAACCCAATATTTAACCTCGTCCGCATTAAATCTTCCTTAAACTAAAATTGAATGACTGAAACCGAGTGCTCCTGAAAATTCCAGCAGTTAGGCTTGCACATATGTAATTTGAGCCACGCCGGGTGAAAACAGTAAACTGTAAACACTACACAAAGCTAATTACTGTTCCCAGCCTTATGCTCGAAATGATGGCTTCCTTTGGGTATATCATTATGCTTGCTTCCCTACTAGACGGTCCTCCCGGAAAGAGAGAGCTCCATACAAGTTCTAATGATGAAGATGGGGCTTCCAGCCAGTGACGAACATTGAATTAAGAATGCAAGCGGTTTGTAAAAAAAAAACCTGACGCAAGGTCGTAAGAACATGCGGCTTCTGAGGTTGTCCAGACTGAGCGCAGGACTTATTGACATGCCAAATTATCTCCAGGGTTATAGCTTGATCCGCTTTGTCAACACTTCCTTCGATACAGCAGCTTGTCTCATCCGATCCCTTGTCAGTGAATGGATGGAGGGCCTCAATCAGAACTGAGGGGTTTTTCAGATGAAGGAAACCGTTTTTGACCTCGGTTACCCGTTGTGAAGTAGTTTCCGCTGCCACCCAGTTGGACTTTTTACGAGTTCCTCGACTGGCAAGTGCAGACTGGAAGGAAAGCACCGCTTGATAAGAACAATTGTGCCCTAAGGAAAGTATCATAGTAGATCCTTTTTACTCCTCTGACCCACCTGAACATCTTGGACAATGCGAGAAAAGTTCGAGAACGAAGTCGGCTTTTTGGTTAAATAGAAACAGTGAAAGTCAAGAGCCATGTGCGACGATGATCATGGTCGAATATAGCACTGTAGTAGCCAATGAAACTCGTTCAACATGGTCCCACTACCTCATTTAGGCTATAGAAGAACTTCATTCTATCGGTTTCATATCTCGCGACATCAAACCGGGCAATTTCGCACCAGGACATAAAGCAACTCGGCAAGGAAGAATCATTTTCATGTACGACTTTGGTCTTGCCAGAAGATACCTGGACAAGGTAGCGGAAGTTTCAAGCGTTTCTCTCTTATATCTCTCGTTCACCATCTAGCACATATGCTGTAGGGAGTCCACTGATCCGGTAAAGAGATCATTTTCAGAATAGAAATCTCATTCCATCTCGGAAGGAAGTAGGATGGAGAGGTACAACTCGCTATGGGAGTTTGATTGCCCATAAGAGGATGGTAGGTCACAGTAATTCCTGTGGGATGATCTATTATTTCAGAACATATTATCATAACTGCGATTTGCAGGACTTGAGCCGTAGAGATGACATCGAAAGCTGGTTCTACATGCTGATAGAAATCACAAAAGGAAGTCTGCCTTGGCGGCTTGTCACTGGTAGGGCAATGTCTCCCAATGATTCTCCAAGAGGGTAAAACAGATAGCCCCTACAATTCTATCCTCCCGTGCTGCATTTGAAAGTCCTACACAGATAGTCACTCATCCTACTTTATATAATTCGCTAAGTGTGTCTGTTGGTGTGTCGGTGTGTCGGTGTGTTTGTGTGTTTGTGTGTGTGTGTGTGTGTGAGGGTGTGTTTGTGTGTGTGTGTGTGTGCGTGT